CCGCCGAGCCTCTAACGCGCCATTAACGGTATCTAAATGGTATCGCACATGTTACAAATAACTTCAATTCTCAATGGCCAAGTCGATCGACACTCTATAGCGTTAATAGTAATATTCATTTTCTAGATTGTTTTTTTCCTCTTACGTGCTACTATTTTGAATGTTTCGTATAAACCCTGCTAAAATTCCGTCGATCGGACTAGTCGACGGCAATTCGGCCGACAAGTGAATCGAGCTTCGAATGATCCACTTTAATTCACTTTTATTCACTCGGCGCGAATGAAACATCTTCCTCCTTTAAATTCTCGTCATTCAATTAGAAATTCCTGCGTTCCTCCGCATCATATGGCGACAAGCGCGCACAGGATGCGTATGGTTATTTAAAATTGCCCAGACTGTCGTCGGGTATATAACAAAACGCGGTATACGTACAAGTGATGTGCGTTGAAAACCGAATTCGCGGTTCGTCCGCGTGAAATTGTGCTGGAACCTTAAAAAAATACTTTCGACTCTGAGAACGTACTCGACCGACGCAAAGTAATCATCCGCGGAACACGCCTTCGCTCGGTGTTCGTTAAAAAAACCTCTTAATCTACGATTACGCTAACGCCTCATCGTAGTCAGGCCTGTCTTTTAAAGAGTCACTGTCACGATTACAATAAAATTCAGTATAGTGGCTTTAATGCTTTCACGGCCTGGAATATTACATTCATAACTGGCTTTCGGATGAGACATGAACAAATAGGAATTTGTTGCCAATATTTCGTCATCATCGCAGCTGCAGTCATCAGGGGTTTAACGTTCTTTCTACCGAAGGTGTTAAGAGACACCTTATGAAATTTGAACTTAAAATTATTTTCTCAGTTTAACGATTTGTCCTCAATTGAATTTTCCACATTTCCTGTAGTTAATGTTATAATCGTTATTGGAAAAGAAGAGTCAATTCAGAATGTACGACTGTACTCGGAAAATAATTTTAAGATTAAATTTCCGGTGCCATTTGACAACTTTGGTAGAAATAGTGTTAAAGACACACTGAGACTGGTGTGTGCCTCAGAAGGTTGTATTGTTTAGTTGACCAATTAACTCTGCGGACGAAGATTCTTCGGAACATACAAAACCTTAGAAACTGAATGACGCTTTTCTATTTTTACAAAAACAAATTTTAAACAGCGCGATCGTTACATTTTTCCAGTCTTAGGCGGATAGTAACAAAAATAAGAATGAATAATTAGAAGGGAAAGAAATAAATAAGCTTCATCTGATTCTACGAACTGATAGACTTTTAGGCAGTGTAACGGAGAAGCGCCATCGCGCCGCTTGGGACTCAAACGGCTGAACTCCTGATGAAGCCAGCCGCAATAATGGCGGAACGTTGGGAACAAATTCCTATTGGACGCAGCTCTCACCCGACAGCCAATTATGAATGGAAAATTCAGTGTTTATTTCAGTAATTCTTTCTCGTTCGAGAACGAACGACGAGGGTAACTGGAATCAATGTCTGGTTTAACACTCCCCTTCGTTACAATAATTCATAGTTCAACTATAATCTCTGAAAACAGTTCGTATTTTCCGATCTATAAATAGGAAACATTCGCTAACTACGTTCGGTAAATGATTAACAGCTAGAACGGAATCGTTGTGAAAGAGGAATCGAAATAGCCTATAGTATCGAACAATTGTGCGCTATTTATAGAAAATAAATACTCGATAATAACGATAACAACAACCGTACTAGTTGTTTAGTAGTTCGGTATTAACCCGGATGCATCCAGCGCCTGCCATTTTACTTAGTACAGTGAACGTATCGAACTATAACAACTGCAGGTACAAAGTGGTTGTTGTTATATTGAAATAATCAACGACTGCGTAAAGTACGATAGAGAAATTGTTAATGGAACACATCTTCAAGACATTCGCTGTCCCACGATTCACGTAATCATGGGAACAATTTCAACGATTGATCCACTAGGCTGAAGGTCTTAACATTTAGACCGCCGTATCGACAAAGTGAGAAGTATAGAAAACATTTGACATTTCAGCAAAAGTTCTTTAGTTTTCTGTAAATACCACTGCATTTCGATCATTGGTAACAGTTTCGTCTTCGTCGTAGATTCGAGTCTGCACTCGTGCAAGCGATACAGTGGTCTAAATGTTAATTCGCGAGCCTGTAATTCCCGACGGATCATAAATCTATGCGCGTGACACAGATTGGTACAACGTGTTTCATCTCAAAGTCTGTGGAGGTGCGTAATTTCAGTAATTATCTTCGGCGATAGTTTGCCAAACGAGTCGGAAGGCAACAAACGACAGTTTACAAAACGAGAAAACACGTTGCAACGCAGGGATAATTTACCAGCTGTCGTAACTAATGAAACGCTGATGGCTAGTGTAATTATTGCGAGAAGTACACAGCACCACCTCGTTTGCTCCAATGTCCTTAGTACTTTTCGTGGGCGAGCCTCGTTAAAAATCGACCACGCTTATTTGTATTCACGAATTGACTGATAACACGCGCTCAAGACTTTCCGTTAATTACTCGGCGGGGATCCAGAGGTTGTCGCGCGTTTTCGATCTAACTGACGATAAAATCAATCGCCAATCGCATTCGTGTAGGCCTGTTCGCCCGCACGGTTGTGTGTGGGTCGGTAATTATTGCGTTAATGATAGGCTCGGCTAGCAACCGTGTCGGGCGATTTTTTTACGGATGAAGCAAGCTTTGAATTACACCGAAAAGTACGAAAAAGAATGATTACCGTACGATACAATTTATAATAATTACTTTCGTTCACCGACTAGCCAGCGTATCGTCGCAAATCATACGAATTCCTTATTGTGAAAATCGTTATAAGATTCTAAAGCTTGATCCACGCTCGCAAGTCAATTTGATCGCACTTCGTTATTGGTCTGATCAAATATTCTTTCACAAAATTCCAAGGTTTCGTATTGTTTATAGTGAATCTTTACGGTGAAACTAAAGTTTCGTTCGATTGAATAATTCACTGATATTAGAATTCTTATATCATGGACATGTTCCTCTTAAACAATTGGAGAACACGTAGTCGAAGCGTGATTGAACTGTGAACTTGTTTGTGGATCAAGCCTAAGAGAATTTAAAACGAGGAATTATTATACAAATTGTATACGTGTCATGTAAATTCAGCTTCTCGTAAAACACAGTTTGAGTAAATACATAAACGATCCATTTGTTGCTGTAAACTAAAAACCTTCGTGTTTATCAACTTTTCCCTTTATATTCTGTTAGTCTTGAAGCTCGCTCGTTGAGCAAGCGAATTTACATAGTTCTCCCAGCGATCGCAAGGGAAAAGTCAACGAGAGAGCTCAAGAAATTCATTTAAAATCGTCAATCGAGAATATTTCAATACCTCGGCAGTACAAACTTCCCGATTTAGAGGAAACTCCGTAGAACTGAAGTCGATGAACAGCTAAACCGAATCCCGTTTCGCTTAATGGCGGCCATCTTGTCGGCACTCTCATCCTTCGTCGAATACGCAACGCGCGTGCAGAGAAACCGTCAACCGTACAAAACAATGCGCAATGTTATCTTGGCAAATGTCGCTCGATGAAAACAGAGATTCAATTAATTCCTCAAACAATAATCATCGTTAATTCCTTGCTCCGACGAATAGTCTCATCAGACTGCCACGCGAGACGAACCAGTTGACACAGGACAGTTCTCATAACAAATCAACTTTCCCGACCTCGCGTGGATATTGACTATGCTCGCAATGCTCCAGAAATTCGCAGCCGCACGCTAAACCACGCGCGAAACAAATCATCCTCAAAAATTCAACATTAAGGAACACGCCTTCAACAGTCCCCGAACAGCAATAGTCTCTCGATGGACCGACTCACCCAAAAATGCAAAAGAACAGTTCACCCTTGCCGAACAACGACGGCGTCAATTGTGAATAAGCGATCCACCACGCTCGATCGAGATTAACACTTAGGCAATCCTCTCAATAAAACTATAACTATAACCTTCGTTAACTTCAATCGAACTCATTCAGCAGATCTGAATAAAACTTGTATTCTGCAAAAGCAAGAAGGATATGTTGTATTACAAATATCCCCATCCGATCACCTGCGGTATAAGAAAATAATAGATAAAATACATATTGTATAACTAAATTAACACAACGCAAAGTTGAAGACTCGCTAAATAGCAAAAGAAACGAATGAACAGAATGAATGGCCATTCCTTGCTAGGCGAAAAGTGGGACATCTCCCCTAAGTGTTAATCTCGTTTCCATGAAACGGGGAATCCCCGGGACCGCGAAAGCGCGGGAGAACGCCTCGGGTTCGAATCGTTTTAGCGGTTTTCCGCGAAAAGGGAGAACGGTGGATCGCTTATCGGCACGGGTTCACGTTCGCTGCCGCGAATATTATTTGCTCGCGCGAATCTGCTCGATGATATCGTGCCCCGTGTGGATTCCACGTCGCGGCAGACGGATCTCGTCCCTCTCGAGACTGACGGGCTCGGGAAATCGATTCCACGGACCTGTATATCGCGGCGGAGCCCGTCGAGAAGCGTTCGAGTGTCCCTCTTCGAGCGGACACGCGCCCCTCGGGAACCCGTCGCGCCGACAAAGCACGAAGAGGCCCCCTTTTGTTCGGAACGCGAGTAACCATCGTCATCAGCCCGGCCCCGCAGACCGGAACACGTTTCAGCGGCGTTACTCGTTCGACATCAGCTGCACGCTGTCGTCCGCCGACCTATGGAACCGACGGACGTCGGACAGCGAGCGGATCGGCGTCGGATGCAGCAGCGAGAACGTGTGCGAGTGGCGATCTGAAAACATTAGAATTGCAGAGGGACCGTTGCGTCGGAGCCGCCATATTGTCGGGCCGGGGGACGCGCTGACGTTGTCAATTGTTCTTTTGGGGATTTTTGTAATATTTGTTTTGGAAAATTTGTTATTTTCTTATGTAATAATTCGCTCTTTTCTATTGCAATAATCTGTAATTCTTCATTCTTATTTCTTAATTTCTATTAGTTTCGAAGATGAATTTTTGTGTTTGAGAAATGGTTAATAAAATATTGACTATTGCGTGTGTTGACTATTTTTAGATGTTGTTGGTGTGAATGAAGCAAGAATGGTAATAGGGTTGAGTCAATGATAATTCGGTTGTAATTGGATTTGGTAGATAAGGGATATTTTGAATTTTAAGTTTTCAATGCAAGCGATTGTAAGTTTTGGTGCTACTTTAATGGGAGCTCGTGTTTGGTCCCCCGTGTACGTAGAAGGGCGGTGTATATGACATTATTATCTAAGTGATCGATAAAGTACCTCCATTTTTTAGAAATCAATTATTTCGCGAGATAAGGGTTGTATACGTATATGTAGAGTTATCGATTCTCTGTTTAGTGGCGTGAAATTGTAGTATTGCAGGTGCATATACGCGGGTACTGGGAATTTCGTCGTTGCAGACGCCATTTGCTGTTAGATACGGCTTCTAATCAAACACTTGGGAATCTAAATGTAATCGATAAGCGCTCTGTAAACTTTCTCGATTCGATAGAAAATATACTGAAATAGATAGTCGTATAAACTTAAATAAATGAACAAGATTAATATAATCAACAAATTAATTACAAAATAGAGAAAAGAAATGTTCATCTTCGTAGATCGTTTCGTGCAAATCGGAATGAAAGAAAAATTCATTTCGCTAATTCGAAGATTTCTTACGCTGAAAGGAACATGGGTATGTAATTAATGTTCGCCAATTTGAATATTTCCTAGCAGATTACAAAGGAGCAAGTGCCATAAATGAATAAAAATGCAAAGTACAACAAGAATAATGCCCACCGACGAATAAGCATTTCAGTGCTCAGTAATAAAATCTTGAAGCGACGTATTTTGTCACGTACAATCCCCGAACAATAAATGTTTCAGCAATCTGCGTATTAAATATGTATGCACCGGCTAATTGCGTTCCCCAAAGACCACTTAATTTCCTGGTATATTAAAACGCGACAAACGAGTCCGGCTTACGATGCCGCATAAAAAAAGAGGGAAACAAGATGTTTCACGTGCACGTAAGCCCCGGGAGAACGATATAAAATATCGCGCAATGCGACATGCCGACGTCGATTACATCTCTCGCACGAATAATCAATCTAGAAGACGAATTACTCAAAAGTAAATGTAAAACGGCCAGTATCTAAAATGGTGTTAATGAAATTAAATACAGAAACGTGCCACGTAACCCGAACACTTTTTTCCTTTCCCTTTCTTGCGACAATGCATTAGAAATTCTAAATAGATCGGACAAAATAAATGGAACCTTCTGCGCACTGCTTTATCGCGAACTGTTAAATGATAAAATAACCTTCTCGAGAAAATTAACAAAACATTGTTGCGACGCGTGGAGAAACTTGCGAAACAAAAATTCGAAATCTTTCAAATCGCAACTTATAAACGATTAAATCTACAAAACAGAAACCAGAAAGACTTCACTGTTAATTGTTACTATATAAACTAATTACTTAATATTCTTTGCTATCACTATAAAATTCTACTAGCTTTAAATAAATCATACAAAGAACCATTTAAGTATCTCAACCCCAAGAAATATTCCGAAAACTCGAATCACCCGCTCGGAAAACAGCTCAGCTACAATGAAATATCTTAAACAACCTACAATCAAATAAATAAGAAATCAATTCTCTATTCTCCAAAATAAAGCGAACGAAACCAACAATATCAAACAACCAACGAACAACTCACGATTCAAACAAAATGGCGGTCGCTGAAGCACAGTCCGAGGCTCACCGCTACATTAGAGGATCAGGCACTACGAAAATGGGAATAACATCGATCAAACGCACAAAACGGGAACAAGAAATGTCCCGATCGACAGTTCGGCACTTGGAGGATGAAGTCAAGGCACACCCATCGTCGGCGATCCATTAATTTATGCGTGGTTAAAAATACGGGGGCAAATCGATCGGCCGTGTCTATAAGCGCCGCATCAAGGTCGGCAATAAGTGTCCCCGGGCGAATATATGAATCCGTTAATGTCCCGAAGTGTGTCTGTGTCACGAGTCGATTTCCATATTCGCTTTCGCCGGGCCTCAACGGTGTCACGTGGATTTTCGCGGTCGAGTGTTCGAACGGCCGCGCAATGGCGGCGGCGGCGGCAGCGGCGGCGGCGGTTCTATTCAAACTGGCCGGTGATTTGTATGGAAATGGGACTCGCGATTAAGTGCATTCGCGCGATCGTTCGCGACACGCGGATCTAAAGTCTCCCCGTGAACAATGCACGCGGATTATTTGTATGCAATTGGAGCTACCGGTAATTGCCGACACGGCCGACGGTGTACGGGGTGTCTCGCAATTCGCGGCTATAGGAATTTTATTAGGCGCTTCCTTTGGAATTGTTTGCGTTAGAATGACGGGAGCGGTGTGTTCATTGTATAAAGGAATAATTTGGGAATATTTTTCTGTTAGGATAATGAAACTAAATTGACGTGTTCAATTCATCCCTCCCAATATCGCACTATTTAAAACTCGATCTCCATATCGTCTACAAATCTTCATTCTTAATCTGATAGAACTCAATTTCATTCGCCACAATATTAACTATTGTAAAGGCACCAGTAATTAAGCTGGTATCAGTAGTTGACCATTTGTCAGAGCAACGTGAGTAATAAAGTTTTTAAAAGTGATAATCTTTGCATAAACGCGCTGAAAAATGTAGTTTCTCATATTAATGAACGTACCAGATCAAGGAAAAGTGGAAAAATTTCTGTTCCTGAATTAGATCTTCTATGAAATTTCCTTTCATTTGTGTTAAATTAAATTAATATTAAATTAATCACCTTCGGTGCGTACTCATGCAATATTATGTATGTAAATTTGAGGGAAACGGAGAGTCGTTTAGTGCGTGATAATGGGAATTGGATAACGTAAACGAATGATTAGTTTGAGGAAGAGAATTATCAGGTTGATGGGGAATAGATGGCCGATCGATGAAGAACGGAACTTTAAGAGAGAGAGAGAAATAAATCCTGTAATAAAGGGATGCTACTTTACATGTTACGAGAAAGGCAATTTAACTTTTACCAAAGCGAACGGCTTTCGTTCTTGATTAAAAACGAAGTGATAAAATTAATTTCAAAGTTCGCCGCGAGCGTTCAAGCTTGCAAAACAAAAGGCTCGGGACGGTTCTAGAGGTCAAGTCTCGAGAACAGCACGACAAAGGAGAGAAACTCCGAGAAACGGTGGAAAAGAAGTTCGACAACGCGTTTAGAAACAGCACATTCATAAACAATTTTATTAAATAATCGTTAACACTTCAGTAACACTGTAACGCTTCGAAATAGTCGAATCCTATTTCCGCTCTCTCGTGCGTCGTTCAAACAACCGTTCAACCATTGCTAGTTTCAATTAAATTCGAACGAAATCGATATCGAATTAATTGTGTCCGCCTATATCTAGATTGCATCACAAATATATTACTAAATTCGTTTATAAACGTGATAAAAAAACAAAGCTCTCGTTTCTATTCGGTGCGTTCGTCGCGTAACGGATATATCAATTAATTTAACCCTGCTACGGTGTAACATTAATTCATTCCTCCCTTGTTCCTTATAAATTACAGAAACTAGTGCAAATACACGTTTCAATCGACTAATTCACGAAACGAACAAGAAGATTTCTTTAACATTCCAACAATTCTATACAGATTCTAACAAAATGAAACCTATAGTACACACCATTCCGAATCAATTCGTTACCCAACTTTCTAAACAATTCAAACACATTTCTAAACATATAAAAAATAAAGCAATATCAAAATAAAACAAGTTCTTCGACACATATAGTTATATCACGATGAAATCTGCAATCTACGATTAAAAGTTATCAAACGTAAAATATCAATTTTAATTCGATTAACCAAATCAGCTTACATTCTCTTTAATTAAGCAGCTTCAAAATCTATTTCTTCGAGTAATCGTTCCAGCAGCAAGCAGCGAATAACTGATCACCCTTTAAGTGGGCCCGTGCACATACGTCCGTGCAACTCGCACACAACACAGAAATGCTGTCCGCCAGCGATTCATTTGAATTGCACGAGGTCTAATCTCCACGGCGCGCCGCGAAAATCAATGAAGAAAGTTCTACGTGTTTTACAATTGTAATAGGCTCCGTTGACACGCGTGTTTCCTGTTCTCCGTTGTAACGCGACGTGTGCGGCAGTTGATCCGGCGACCGTGGCAGGGTTAATCCGCGGCCATTCCGCGAGACGTGACCCCCGAACGCTGCGACGCGACTATACCACCGTAAAATCGACGAAACGACCGATCAACATTAACCATACCGGCGCTTCGTATATATCATCCCTATCGCAACCGGTCAAATAACTGGCTACGAAAGAAAAATAAATAATTTGGATGATCAATTGTTCTTAGAGAAATTCGAAGGACGTGAAACTTACCGGATATTCCAAAAATTATGAAACTGTGTGTAGCTAGAGTAAGCAGATTACTAATACGTTGCAGTTTTTTTTATGATGAATTTCACTTTAGAGGCGAAACTACTTAGACATTCTACTTAGAGTTTCATTTTTGGAATTTCCGGTTCGATGATTTTCCTTGTTAGTGGAAAGAGGAACAAAAGGAAAGAAAAATTGAGAATTAACCCTTTGTGGACGGAGATCTTTGAAATACAGAAAATCTTCAGCAGATGAAGCTACATATATCAATTGCTTAAATAATAGGAAAAACAGAAAGTGCGTGCTGATCACTTGCTGTTTGAGTAATTAAATCATTTGATTGCGATTCAGTCTTCGAAACAGGACGATTTCATGTTACCGAAACGTCGAAATTCGTCCGCAAAGGGTTAATCGAGTAATACAAGAATTGATGTAAAGTGAAATGCACGGAAGAGAACGAGGGATTTTTAATCTAATTTTGGAACCAAAAATTTGACCGGTTTAGACACGGTTAGTGTCAATAGGGAACTATTTTTCTTTGGAACGTTGGAAATGACATCCGCCGATTTTAAATTCTTACGCTGGAATAGATGAAAGTATAACTTAATATTTTATTCGAGAAACTAATGCAGTCCGTAAGTGAAATATAACTGACGTTTCCAGTGGCGCGGAACGTGTTGGTGAACCTCTGGTGGAAAATAGTTCTTATAAAAATAGTGGACGTCTGTTTTATCGTGGACACTAGGCTACCGTCAGCGTCGGAGGGTGAAAATAAACCTCAAACATGGGGGTGGAAAGGATGTCTGGTTGAATACTTCGAAGAACGTGATAAAGAGCATTGTCGGGTTTTCAGTAAGGAGTTCTACCGTTTAAGAGTTTGTTTAACATTAGAACTACCAAGCAATCAAGTTGACTTCTCAGAATTTAGTTTGCGCATTACTAAAACAGTTTATTTAGAAATTTCTTAAAGAACGATCCATTATTTTCTCCATAATTGTATCTGGCAGTTCTAGTGTTAAATGATGTAAAGAGAAATGTTCTATGATCGGTTTCCTAATCAAACATTAATTTATTTTCTTGTGTATCTGTACGTAGAAAATGTAAAACATTGATATATTAGAATGTTGATTTTCGTGTTACGATGAAAGTTATTGAAATTCAATTTCTGGTACACTCTCATTCTAAACGATTAGATAAAAAACAATTGACACTAAAATAAACACGTGGAAAATATTTTCGTAAGAACTACTTTCTACGAGGGTTGAGCATCATCTAGAAATAAAATATATTGCAATTCGTTTTGTTTTATTTTATGATAAATAATTTCTTTTCAAAGTGAATATTCTTATGTTTACTTGCATGCATGCTCTACTTTTAAAGGAACTTATGCGAAGCAACCGTTTATCTGCTCTATTTATTAGTTCCGCTTTAAAATGCCCAACCCTGCTTTCTACCGAAATATTCCCGAAATCGATGGACATCACTTCGATGCGTTCCCTGATGAGAGAGCTCGCTCGATAATACAACGCATCTAACGAAAGCACGCAAACGATGCCTATCTACAGAGTATCTAAATACAATAGGACCCCGTATAACTCGATCGCGATACCGTTTAAACAGGCTGTACGCTTGTACGTGGCAGTAAACGTTAAAGATGCGAAGACACATCATTACCCTAATGTCTGAAATTATTAAAACCAAATAAAATGAAATGCATGTTACTCGTTATTCCACGAAAAACAAAATCTATAAATTTATATAATTTGAAATGTATCACACCTTAACCCTTTGCACCCCGAATTTCTTTTGTATTTTTTCATAACTCTATTACTACATTTTATTTGAAATGCATTTGGAAAAATAGTCTGTAGAGAGTAATAATATTGAAAATAATATAATCTATTTTAAACATATCTTGACTGAATAAAACTGAGCCGCGCTCGACATAAGAGCGCAAAGGGTTAAACACGAACCGAGTGCTTCGTCATTAAAATTCCAACAACTTCAGAAACTGATATTAAAGCGATTCATTTCAGACACAGAATAAACATGAGTCAAGTGCACCGCTAAAATCTCGAAACATTCAAAAAGCCGACTGAACCATTGCAGTCGAGTGCCGCCATAATGGCGACTTCGAGTTCCGATGCCTAAATTCGAAAGCTGCGAATGAATAATCGTTCGAACAACGAGAGATCGATATGTGACTTTTCTCCTCTAGTGTTCAAAACTTTCTACGCAACTCAGCGTATTGCAAATGACTTTTCACAAACGTAGCACGTTAAATGCGAGTCACCGATGACTTCGCTTCTGTATTACTTGAAACCGATCGTAACATGCAAGATAATCGATGTCGAATGAAAACGTTTAATAGCGTAACTAAGTTAATAATACTGTGATGCAAAGATTGTAACGCTAAATAGTGAATAATTGTTGCTACTTCTCTTCGCTAAGAAAAATAACCAAAAAATGGTCAAGACTTTCGCGGCGCTGAACGTGTTAAAAATTCTCGTCCGCGAAAAGGTTTAACACTAGGTTTACGGAACGCGTCAAATTGACGCATATTGGATTTTAGAAACATTATTGCGGTACACTGTCATGTACCCCAATTACCTACTATCAAATCTTCAGTTCCCACAATCTAAATAAACGAGCAATTCTTTTAGGAACAATAGAATGAACTGTACAACAAATGCCCGTAAGCCTAGCGTTAATCAACTTAGCCTGTGAACTCATTTCGCGCGTTACAAGGGGTCCTACTGCGAAAGCGGTTCGACAGCGCGGCGGGGAGAAGCGTCCGAACGGTAACTAAGCTAAAGAGGCAATTCGTTTTCTAGTCGTTTCGATTCGCACCTCTGATATCCGTGGTGGGCTCGCTTCGAGAGATCTCCTGCTCGTTGCCGCGGTACGGCGGCGTCTTCAGCGGGCTTTTGCAGTGCCCCATCGCGTCGTTCCTCCCGTTCGGCGTCGTGTTCTGATGCGGGAAGTGGAAGGTCGTGGTGTGCGGCCAAGAAGCTGGCGGCGGGCTGCGCACCAGGTGCTCGTGCACTTGGGCAAGCGTCAACGGGTCCGCGTCACCTAATTCCTAAACAAGTGGATCGGAGATCAAACATCGCGCTTCACCCGTTGCTGCGAACCTGGCACTCTCGTCTAATTGGTTAGATTACGCCTTCCTCGCAAGAATGCCTGGTTCTGGTACACCATTGGCTGAAGCGCTCACGCACACTACTCGCGACAAAGAGTGGGGAGAGACGTTTCCGGACTCGCGATTGGAGTTTTCGGAGCTATCTTCGACCCTATGACGTTACAAGTGCCAAGTTCCCAGCAAGATTCGCTGCAAAGACACAGATTCTCCACAGGATAAATAAAATGTCCTTCGGTTCTAACAATTGTTCTCGCGTATACGTCGCAGAGGATTAACACTAAAACTACTGGGCAAATTGGCAAATATCCAAATTATGAAATGCGTTCTTGATTATCGGTTGAATTTGTGTATTTGTACAAATACGAAACCGGGAGACCCTTCGAATCTCAAGAAACTCGTTGTTCTAAGTTTTAGAGAAAATTGGGGAGAATTAATTCGAGTTTCTCGGTGGTTTTAGTGTGATATTTCATAACAAGCACGACTCGAGCAATGAAAGTTGTACGTGAAAGGGGTTGGAAGGCGATGTAATCAAACTCGTGGAACTTCGATAGCAGTTTCCCCGTTATTTCCTGATTATCCTAGTAATTTGTTCGATTAGTGGTATCGGTTGAGGGTTCAATGAATAGCTGTACTACCCTAAATCACACTAACTGCTTACAATGTAAGTACGGTCGAGTCCACCCGACGAGCTCAGATAATCCACTTAGGTGGGACGTGGTCAAGGGAAAGATTCCCCTCGTGGAGAATCAAACGAGTTTTCGAGCACTTTTATCGAATGAAATGATTCTAGGAACGATGGCCCAATTTATCAAACTCGTTCACCTTTGGTGGCGGTTTTGCCCTACTTGTTTCTGCCATTAAAGGTATAGACTAATCGCTCGGACGCTAAATGAACGTTTTACCACACCCATCCGATGTAGCAACGAAGAACCGACGAATGAAAAATCGAATTGCGTGCTCGCGAAGTGTCTTGTGTGTGCAGTGGTTAATAGACTGTCCAACTTTGCTCTCATAAATATTCTAGAAAACGGAAACGATTAATTCAGTGAAAAAGGAGCTGAAGAATTCCAATTGATTACGATCTATATCTATTTACTTGTAACTCGAAATACTTCTTCCGACCAGTCTGAGTTAGCTAAAATTTCGAAACAAATGAGAAATCGAAATAACGCAGAAATATCTTGTGTGTTATGTTTTATGGAACTGAAGCGAATTGTTTGACGTAACCGGGAGATCAAAGTCCATCAAAGAGATTATTCTTACAAAATGACTTATTGTACTATCACGGAAATCAATAGAAATAACGAAGAACTAATCGAAGACACATACTAACAAATAAAGCTACATATTCCTTTAATTGAAAATTAATACTCTAACTTAAGATTCAAATCTTGATCTACTACTTAGTAGTGGTGAACTGGAAATTAGTTTAAACCAATTAAGTCTATCACTTAAGATTACTCGTTGATTCACTAGGAAATTAATATAAAAATTAACATCTTAATGTTCTTAATCAAAGAGAAGAAACCTTTTAGAATAGCTAATAAAAATAATTGCTCCCTAGAATCTATCGTGAACCAGAAAGCTAAATGTATCACTTCAGGCAACACTTGCCCCGATAGAAATAATACTATTCGTCAATCGTGTATCACTGTTTCAGGAATTCGTTCGTCAATCGTCCAGATATTAATAAAATCCGCGAGATCGAACCGTGACATTAGGAGGCGGTTTCGTTCGTCGGAACGACTAAAAATATTCTTTTACGTGGCGAAAGACGCGCGATCTATTCCAGAAATATGGCCGAACGAAGAATTATCACGGCGACGCCCTTAAACCTCCTAGCCGAGGTCGCTTTTGTTACGGGAGAATCGGTAAGTTCACGCTACCATTAATAATGCAGGGTAGGTCCCGATCGATTTTCCTTTTACACTCCTACGGGTACCAATGAAAATGAGAAAAAACTGCTCACCTGAGACATTAGTATGGCGTCGTCGGACTCGGACTCTTCTATGGACTCCACGAGGCTCTCGCGGCTCGCCAGCACCTGCGAAAGTCGGCTCGCCTTAGAAAAGATTTCGCGTGACGATTCGAGAAAGTTCGTTTCTCGCTAACCGAAATTAACTGGGAGAGTTAATTTCAAAAATAACTGAATGCCTCCTTACGCTGTGAAAGTTTCTTTAACGTCTCTCGCGATAAGGGTTGCGATTTATTTCATAAGTCACACCATGATAATTTACATCGTTGCGCGAGGAACTGATGTAAAGATTTCGTTTTGACTTTCTTCGATGGCTTTTTATTTTGTAACTATTTCGTATAAGAAGCGTTTAATAATTACTCGATCGAAAGCTCAAGATTCATTGTTCTACAAATTGTAGATACAGTCTGGTCAAAAGATAGATTTTCTAAAGAACTTAAAAATTGTTAAGTTGAATAACTATGAGTATCTAACAATAAATATCAGAATGTAAAAGTTAATGCAGCAGAAAGTCTAATGAACGATAACTCTCACAGCGTTCAGGAGCATCATTTACTTCCAATTATCAATTACTCTGCTTCACAGAAAAGTAGGTACAGAATAGCTCTAAAATTCTTCTTATTTTCTAATAAATTATTACTGGAAACATGGCGGTATCGATCGGAGCTAAGAAATAAATCATAGGGCTAAGGGCTGAAGTCCCGACGTTTCGGCAGCTAACGCAGGGATTAATAAATAAGAAATGGAAGTAACTTCCAACCGAGTCCAGGAGAAAACTAAACGCGAGAAGTTCCGTGGACCGATTGTCACGCGGCACGACAGTTCGCGAAACTTTATTCCCGGAAATGAACTCGAATTCCCAGTGGGACCAGCCCCAGAAATTCGACGAAGTTACCGTTTACCACCCTCTGCTGGTTACGAAACGCGACGTGGGCGGAGGATATCGATTCGAACCTGTAGAAAAGGATTATCCTGTCGACTCAGCCTAAGTGCCTCCATATCCTGATCGATGTTCCGTGTTCTGCCAGGCGTCAAGGTTAAAACTGAGTGCGACGGGGACGGCTGACAGGCAACGACGACATCGACGGCTGCCACGCTCAAGGTCGACGGAATTCTCGATACCTGATTGTCATTTTCGCTACCGCTGCGCCGGCAGGCGTTCGTGATGATCGCTGGAACAGATATCATCCGGGCACGGTCAGCGGAATCGGCCTTTAATGGCCGCTACCCCGTCTGCCTTCCGTGTTTCGCCGAGGAAAAACATTGGGGTAGTTTCTAAATTTACAGGATGATTCAGATCTTCTTGGGAATTCGTGTATAATGCAGGGGTGATTTGTGAGTATAGGAAATGTGTTTAGAACTGCGTAGTTTCAAAGGTGATCAGAGTTTGGGGATATTGAATGATTAGAATTTTTATGGATATAAATTTACAAGATGATTCAGATCTTCTTGGGAATTCGTGTATAATGCAGGGGTGATTTGTGAATACAGGAAATATATTTAAAACTGCGTAGTTTCAAAGATGATTAGAGTTTGGAGATATTGATTAATTAGAATTTTTATGAATATAAATTTGTTGGATGATTCTGATATTGTTACGAATTCGTGAATAATGCAGGAGTGGTTTGTAGATATATGAAATATATTTAGAACTTCGTAGTTTCACAGTTGGTTAGAGTTTGGAGACATTGGATAATTATAATTTTCATGAACCTAAGTTTATAGCATGACTCTGATATTCTTGTGACTTCGTCTATAATTCAAGGGTGGTTTGTGAACATAGGAAGCATGTTTAGAACTTCATAGTTCTAAATCTGATTGGTTGTTGGCTATATTGAACGATCCGAATTATAGACTCAATTATTCCTGTTTTGATCTGGTTTACCTGCAGAAATTCTGTCGGTTGACCCAGTTTCCAAAATCTCAATGTTGCTCGTTATTTATTATTCGAACTAATTATCCCTAATTGGAGAATCCAAGGTGACGCGTACATTTTTTCACGCTGCATCGTCTGAAGCTTCGCGATAAGCAAATGGTAATTACGGTATCGAACAAACCGTGAACTATGTACTCGCCTCGCCGTTTAAAATAACTAAAACTAATAAACATCGTTCTCCCCCGTTGAAATATAGGTAAATACACAAATACACGCGAACGCTCGGTATTCCCGACGACGGAGGTTCATTCCTACCGGGATCAAACAATTAACTCTGCCACATTAATCAATAAAATACTTAAATATCAATCACTCAATATTTAATTACTGCATGACAACGGCAGCATCGCGCAGTTTCATGCGAAATAGAATTTCCCGACGGGCAAAGTGGTCGAACGTAAAACCGTAATCGAAATAAAATCAATTCCACGCTGGAAGTTCCATTATCGATTCGATAAAAATTAAAAGTCGCGACTAACGGCGGCGCGCAATTAAAATTAGTCACGTTTTGAAGAAATTTAAAATCAACTTCCCGGCTAAATATACCTGTCGCACGTGCTAAGTATACGAGGGCAAGCGACGGAGCTTTAATTAATCGTTCGCGTATTTTTTTTTATTTCCACGGGTATTAAAAATAATTCACCCTTCTATTCGCTTATTTCCGCACGCGTTGCTACGAAAAGAATTGTTTAACATTACTAACCGGCTTTTTCCAGTAATAAAATGAAAGCAGTGAAAAAATAAAATGTTCGTTCTTTTATTTTTTCCCTCTTGGGGATATTTCCACCCTTCTCTATCCAATGGAAACCCGCATAAACATTATTGCACGGGTTGGCGCGCAATAATGTGTGTGTGTGTGTGTGTGTGTGTGTGTGTGTGTGCGTGAAACCGATTCCTCACCTCTGGCGACGTTCTGCGCATGTCCCTGATTAAAAAAAATGCTTTTAAAAGGATTGAGGGAAACCAAGCGGAGGACGAGACTCGCGAAGAAACGCGTTAAGAAATTAATTTTTATCTTTTTTAGTTGTCACGACGTTTTTTAATGCGACCCACCCTTCGGTATGTTTTTCATCTCGGTTTTTCATCCTAGTTTGTAAAGACTCTACAGCCTTCATGTTTTTAATTGCGATTCTAATATTTCGTTTCATAACATTCTGATCTAACGCGTTCTTGTGATTAATATTTAATTTTGTAACGGGAACAGTTTTTTAGCTTTGAAATTGAAACGTTTGAATATTTCGATTACTAAAATTCACGCGAAGATGATGTGCACTCGAGAATATTGACGACGAAAAGAATCTTTTCAAGAGATATTTTGAATTTTTGATAGAAAAGGGTTGAAGGAGTTTCGTGAAAGTTTTAGATTGAATTTTGTGATATTTTTGAAGGTTCAAGAGTGATTTCCGTGACTTACCCGGTGTCTCGACTTTCGGAGCACGTTCCATTTCCTCCTCCTCGTTGATCTTCATTCCTAACGTTAACTTCTTTGATTTAAAAAAGCTTGAGAGAAACGCTACACCCTTACGTTTGACCCGGTCGTATCGCTGTGCGTTCTTCGACGACACGTGTATCATCATTCGTCTAGAATGAAAGAAAACGAAATCTGTCGTTAGTTCGGCGATTAGACTGGGTGTTCTTTTCGTTAAAATGAATATTTATGAAATATATTCAAATCAGAATAATGGAATAAAGAATGGAAAGAAAAATTGATGAAAATACGGAATTACTGAAATCCTGGAATAAAGACTTTTTTAATAAACGCCTTCTGAAATATATAATTTGTTTTCAGCTATTGTAACGCTGTTACGTCTATAACCATGAATTAATAGTTAGTTTCATTTGAGTAATATACAATCTGGAATGCTATCAGAAAAGAAGGACGTAAATTACACTTAATCTGATGCTACACTAAAAATATTCGGTTCGATTTAAAGAAAAAGACAGCCGCGCGTGAATACTTCTCTCTGTCACGAGAATACAGGAAATATAGCCTTCCTGTTTCAACATTCTCAACGCTGGAAGCATTCACCAAGTATCGAGTGTGTCCCGCATTCAATCTCTTAACAAAATTACGGAAGTGCAGTCGTCGAGATTTCTTCTATCTCTAACATTTAATATCCTGTCTTCGAAAAAGCGCAGAAACAAACGATCTAGCTTCTGATTTTACAATATCCAATCATACTCTTGATAAAGATACCAGGCTAAATTCATTAACACGTTGAATGCCATGGGGGTCTCTGGTGACCCCCAACCAAATCGAATTACTATAGTTCATTCAATTAAACGATGATTATTTGAAAACATTTCTATATTATAAATAATGCCACCTAACGCGGTGCCGTTCAGCTATATCAGTGCAATAATAATAATGCAATTCAAACTGATTTAATATTATGTGTTAAACAGAAACATTATTCGCTTCTTTTAAACCTAAACCAAATTCTTCTTTCCTTATCAATACTTCACTTTTAATTGACGTACTGGAATCTCAAAGAACTCGTGAACCTTTATCACTAAATTACAACCTATTGGACACGAACAAAACTCTAATATCGTCACCTATTTCAATTTAGATATTAAATTGATATCAAAGTCGATTACAATAATATCTCCAATTTTTATTATATAAAGAAAAAGGCACTAAAACCAGTTACAATTCAGTTGAACGATTAAGGATCAGCTTTATATCTATCGATTCCTAATAATCACAGAATATCTTCTCTCTCGACAGAACCAATCACAACAAACTACCCTCTACAAACACAATACCAAAAGAAACTTCAAACCAAGGGGTCAAAACAACCAGAACAGATATTTATCCGAACATTCATTGGATCGTATGCTAAGAAGAATTGCTTATAAGTATTCAATAGAAGTATCAGCAAATGCAATATTTCCAATGCATCATCTTCTACATAGTACTAAACAGTAAATGATTGAAAACATTGAAACAAACCAATGGCATACTAGAAATTACAATAGAATCACCGAGATAGTATTACTATTCACAGTAGTATTTATATTTTGTTATTATTATTATTAACATTTAACCCTTTGAACTCTGTAGGCTCCAAAATTGCACCAGTTGTAATATTGAATATTTTAATGAATCGAAGAAACTACCCTAAAATCATCAGATTTTCCACACATCCAAATTTCGCACTCAGAAGGAAAATAAAAGATCGAAGGAATAGCATTTTTCATTTTTACTAGAGATACTATGAAAATTAATTACAGTTGCTGATAGATTACAAAACCATCTGCAGTGCTAAGGGTTCGACTAGTATTCATATTGTACGTATTAGTACTTGCAGTAGCATTTACTTCACACTATCTATTGAAACCATTCAAAAATAAACTATAATACCAGTTCAACAAATTCAATGAACACCCTCCCCAAATACGTCCCCCTTTACACACATGCAGAGTCAAACGTTTGCTCACGAAATCCCAACGAAAAGCTAACACTTCTTCCCGTGCATACGACCCATTGAACGAAACTTCCCAGCCACTCCTCGGTACCGGGCGGATAGTCGTATCGCCGGAGACAACGAGCAACGTCTATAGCCCCTGACGCCGGTACGCGGAAGGACAACGCGTTTCCCGCGGGCGGAACAACAGAATTCACCCCATCCCGCCACCATCGATCCGCCATGGTAGCGTGTACACGTGAATATACGGCGCCGCCGATACGGAGACGATTTACCACGTTTTCCCGTAGAGCAGTTCGAGCGGCGAGCGATTGTCGTGGCCGGCGATGGTGCGTCGCGGGACCGGAAGTCCATCGGCGGCGAGCGGTGGCTACACTAGGCGATCGCATTGCCAACTGCAACTGCGGCGGAAGGGTGTGCTCTCGCGGAGCTACTCGCGGCTACCTCGCGCAGCTGCAAAAGCCGCTGCGAGAGGGAGTGGGACACGGAGAACTCGCCTGAACCGCGTGACGGGACGAGGAAAATCGCGCGAGAAGACACCGCGAGACCGCCGACCGCCCCGGATCGAATGGACAACG